ACACAAAACTGTTGAAAGTAATCTATATAATTAAATAAATCTATAATTTTCCTTAATTCAAACTGAAGACTTTACTAACCCTTTTCATAAATAAATAAACTTAATTTGTTCCTCTGAATAAAAACTGAACATACTATTAACTGATTGATAGATAGACAGACAGACAGACAGACAGATAGAATTTAAAAAATAATAATAATAAAATAAAATAAAGTGTCTGAGACCCAAACAGAACTAATGACATTTTTAAAAAAAATAATATTTTTTTATCTCAAAGTGTAAATATAATATTTTTTAATCTATAATCAGTTCTCGTAGAACAAAAATCTTTTTTAATATTGAGCCTGATTTCTCAAGATTCAGTTTCTGAGACCCTGATGTATATCACATCTGTTTGGAAAGGATTCACACTTGCCTGCTGACGTTCATGTGACGTCTACAAAACCAATTAATATTCCATGCATTTCAGAAAGCCCACGTCAAGCATTTCTATAGTGTCCCGATATCTCCATGACCTTTACCACTGAGGGTATTACAACCAGGGTATGAGACCAAAAATTAGCTGGCCCTGCACATAACCACATCTGCCAGCACAAAAGACGCCTTAGGAGTCACAGATCGCGAAGCATTACCAAACCGAATATTGACGATCCACAAAACGCTTAGTCGACATTTTTCCTAGTTAAAAGGCAACAAACTCTCCCTTCCTGGTTCCTGCTCAAGAAAGAAAGTTTGATCGTCACATAAGGAGTGTAATTATGGATCCATTTGTGCCCTGAAGCTATTGTTTGATTACCTGAAAGCAGCAATCAAGCAGGCAGGGGACCGAAGTAAAATGAAAAAAAAAATCCTTCTCACGCACAACGACGAACACAACACATCAGTATATAGTAGACGCCGTTTGAATTTCCATTAAAATGTTCCTCAATGAGCGACCTATTTTTTCATGCCTTTTCCATCTATCAGCAGGTACGTGACATGGCCTTTATAGGTGCAGATTTGCAATGGCCACTTTACTTTGAAAACGCTTTTTGAAAGCTCCGGTGTAATTGAGCTTCGGAGATCTTTCCAAAGTAGCGCCATTTAGATTTCAGGGAGTCATTTTCAACTAGGCCTATCTGAAACTGTTGCTAATCCACTCTTTTTAATCACACATGAAATTAGGCTCTCAGACAATGGTCTGCAGACACAGAGACCCCTGGGACAGCTGAATGGAGACTAAATGGTGAATCAACAATAGTAAGTGAGGGCTAGTCATCCTCTTGCACAACATTGGACTCTATGTGCCACAAATAAACAAAAAAAAAATCTACATTAAACAAATAAAAACAGATAAATAAAAAAAAATAATGTCTATAATTTTCCTTGAAATTGAAGATATTATTAACCCTTTTATAAATAAAATTGTTTAAATAATATATTCAATTAATATATAATATATAATTTTCCTTTAACTCATGTAAATGTAATAATATTTAAGATACTTTAAATAAAATAATATTCTTATTTTATAATCAGTTCCCATATTAAAGAGACAGTCTTTGTCTGGTTCCTCAATACCAAGTTGTTTTCTCAATCTAGTCGGCAATAAAATTCCACAAGTCCACGATTACTAACAAAGTACACAGGATTATTAATAAATCTCTGATAAAGTTCAGCTTTTGAGGTGTCAAAAATTAGCAATAGTAAAGAAATCAATATTATTTAAAATATTCCTACTCTTTCTAGAAGTCAGAAAAATCAGAAATGCAATGGCAAAATAGCAATGTAGATGCTTTCATATTGAATTCATTAAGCATTTTTTGTTGTAGCATAAAGCGTTAAATAAGAGGGATCTGGTATGTTGTTAATTCTGGCCATGCATTATGACATTCCATTAGCAAAATAAAAGAATAGTGCTGCTAATACAGAAATACCATTATTGAGAGTACAAAAAAAAGACAACTAGCGTAATGGATAGACTTGATGAAAACAAATGAGCAACACTAAGATTACTCTGATGCAAAACAAACAGAAGACTGCAACAAAGCTGGGGGAAAACGACCATACACTGTAAAAATCTGCAAGCATGAAAAACTCTACTTTGGGTTGTTCTCACTCAAAAATGTGCAAAACTGCAATAATGGATTGACCTCAACCACTTGTGATGCCATCAAATACTATTTAACATAAGTCATATTATGTAGTGGCCTGAAAATTCTTTGACACATTTACAATCGCATGGTGGAGATTCTATTGCAAACGCTGTTAGTTGTTTTCTCAGGACCAATTTTTTTTTTTTACTTTATGTATGAAATCAGTTTCCCTCAAGTAGACACAAGTGTCATAGAATCTAAACTGTTGTTTTAACTTAACACATTTCACAAACAGATGTGTTAGCTTTCATGGAAAGTGTGCTTATTTTATCTTTCTTTAACTAAATACAAATTGATTTAACAAACATACATGAATATCATTACATTACATATATAATATGACTAAGGTATCCAAATACTTTTGGGGGCCACTGTAAATATAAAAAGTAGTAATATTCTAAACAATAGACACTTAATAATACATATCCATTTAGACACTGCTAAATGAAAAAGTCTCTGTAATAAAGCTATGATAGCACAACAAAACCAAATTAACTTATGTTTAAGCTGTAGTCCCAGTTTGTAGGAAACCTTTATTGTTTGCGTACTGCATAATTAAATCGTTTCCGTCCTCAAATTCTCAGCATTTAAAAAATCATAGTTGCAATACTACATATATACACTGTTCAATAAGTAGAAGAGACAGCTGTCACACTTTTTACTCTAATGAATATTTCTTAGAAAGTCAGTCAATTTCTGTATTAGACAAACACTTCAAAGATTGACTACCAAATAGCTATTGAACGTAAAGAATTAATTCTTCTATTTAGCAAGGATCAACATTGAAAGTAAAGACATTTATGTCGTTACAGTATTTTGAACTTTCTATTCAAAGATTCCTGAAAAAATGTATCACAAGAAATAATGAGAATTTTTTGAGCAAATCAGCATATTAGAATTGATTTCTGAAGGATCATGTGACACTGAAGGCTGGAGTAATGATGCTGAAAATTCAGCTTCGCATTTATGTAAAAATGTTTCTGTTGAAACCTAGTTATTTGGATGTACCGCTGACCAGATGACAACTTCCCCATGTGACCACTTGCCCTGGTCTCCTCTAAATGGCCTCCAAGGTTTCAGGTGGCCTCACTTTAGTTCTAATAGTAACACTGAAGCTAGTTGGCCTGAAGGAGGAAAATCGCAATCATTTGTAAATTGGTCAAGGTCGTGCGAATACAATAGAAGTGGGTTGATGACTCGTCGGGGAATGCCGACTAAAAATGTAGGCCTCTTTTTCAGGAAAACTTTCAATCCTGCTCCTGAAGTACCCCACATCACAATGTGGATGTCCACCTTTTGATTTATATCATGAACTCATTAGTAGAGGCTCCAAGACCAGAATTGGGTGTCAAATAAGAAAAACACCCAAAGTGGGCAGCACAGGAATGGGGATGTGCCAAAAAACAGCCGAGTTACAGGAGCTGTCCAGCATGAGAAGGTGCTGAAATCTCTACAGCTACTGCACAAAATTAAATCTTTGAAGCAAACAACTAGTCAAAAGCAACTTGGACTTGCACACTTAGAGAGAAGCTCCCTGATCAGTGCACTCTGGCTTTCCAGTTTAGACGCTGGAAAAGGTTACCACTATCCCCTCTAGTGGCCTTACAAAGTGACTGGAGACAGGGCTGTAAAAATGTCTCCCTGTTGATCTCATACATCAGTTTGCATACACTATTATGCAATTTCCTTGATAAAATGCGATGGAAAAAAGTGAATCCATCACAAAGCGCTATAGAGTCGTCATGGCATCCTTTTGTAGACAATTCCCAGCAAAGAATCGATCATGAATCAGGTTATTGTTCATCAAAACGCACTCTTGTCCTCATTGCTGCGCCAGCATTGACATTATTCAACGAGAACAAGATCTGTCTTGCTTTTTGCACATTTGTAGCTTTAAATTATTGACATTATGTAATGAAAACAGATCCAGACTGATGGCATGTTCAGGAGAACCAGTGTTGAACCATGATGGCCCATATGAGGAAAACTTTGAGAGAGGGAGAGAATTTATGTCTTAATATGCCAAAACTAATAGCTTTTGCAATTCAAAATGTCATTATTTGGCATCCAAAGCTGGTTGAAGACAACAACGTTAATGTTTTCTTTGCTCCAGGTGTTATTATTTAGTTGCTCGGATCAGCTGAGGGCCATTACGCAGCTCTTCTATTTATCCCAAAACCATCAGAGTTCATCAAAAACACCATCATATAGCTATTACAGCATTAATGTTTCTACCTCCTATTACTTATCCAACTTTAACCTTCTAATAGAAGCCAAACACTGGAACATCAGCTTTAAAATGATTGCATAAATGAGATCTGACTTTAAATTCTCCATGCACTTATTAATACACGCTGGTATGTGACTTCAAACTCATGTAAAGCCTTTTATTCCTCCCTCTCTCTCACGCTCTCTTTAATAGCACAATACACCTTTGACGAAGCTCACGAATGTGACAAAATTCCTTTTGGGATTCCTGTCTTGAATACAAAGCAGCTTCTATAAAGACTCCTCTCTGTGAAGTAAAAAAAACCAGATGCATTAAGCTTAGACGTTGCAATTAATTGTCCCCAATCAGGTGTCATTTATTTGGAATTTTTTAACATTGATTGTGTACTTATATGGAGTAACACAAATCTGTTTCCTTTTTATTCTTGATTTAATATGGATATTCAATTGCTATTTCCAACTGTATAATTAACATTTTATATTAATTTAAGATCGTTTTTAGCTACTGCCCATCATTAAAACCCTTCTAATCATCCCACACACCAACACAAATCCTGGAGTGAGTGGGAGGCTGAGAGTTGATCTCAATGCACACATGGACTCAACATGTGATGGACACTTGTGCGCTTGACTTACATGGAGGAGATGTTCTCAAACAGGTCCGGGAGGCTGTTAGTGGTATTCCCATCGCTCACGGTGTCCTGTAGTGCCAGGAGGGGAAAGAAATTCCCTTGGTAAGACTCATTGCAAAAGATGTTCGTGGTAGAACAACGGCAGGTCGGTGGGCAGTCCAGCATGGAGCTCATATAATCCTGGAAGATGCTGAGGAGAAATAGGATCCTCCACCAGCAAACGGGGGGTGGGATGGAGAATAAATCCATGTTTCCAGGTGCTTCCCTCAATATTTTAGCTCCTCACTAATGTTCAACGGCTACAGAATCGAAAGCGCTCCGGGTATGAGAGTGAAGGTATGTCAGATCAAAGAGATCGTAATAATGTCCCCAAGAAAAGAGGGGGGGGGGAAATCTCCGTCAATGTAGAAAGGGCTCAAAAATCAACGGTCCCAGGCTGTCCTCCTCTCCGGGCTGCATGGCACAAGCTTCCCCGTCTCCTCGGTGCTGTTTGTCGCGTAGTTCCAGGTTGTTGGATCTCAGGCTTGAAGACTAAAGCGTCAGAGCGCAGTCTAGAGGGGGAGAGAGAGAGAGCGAGAGAGAGAGAGAGAGAGAGAGAGAGAGCGAGGTCCATGCTTCGAGCATCAAGTCCCACCTACTGGGCAGATTAAAAACTGACGCACCTGCAGAACGGCAAAAGCGATCAAATCTGCACCGGAAAATAACGCACTCTGCAACAGGCAAAACACTGCTGCCAAACACTACTGTACAAAGCAGTAAGAAACATGTGTAACCATTACATTAAAAAACACGTATGTCCGAGATGATAAAAAGGGTCCATTTTCGGGGGGGAAATGTATGTTGGTTGAATGCGTTTTTGAAAAAAAAAAACATACAATTTTCTACAAAATAAAGATAGATGGGCTACCTACTGACTAACTCCTGATTATAAGTGTACACAACATCATCATTTACGGTATGTTTTTAAATAACTATTTTTACTGGTATTATGTATTTTCTCTAATAATAATAATAACAATAATAACGCTCCTTAATAATGTTAACTCAAATTATTATATTAGATATTGCACAACAGATGATTATTTGCACTGAAAGTATTAAACTCTCGTCATATATTTTCTTACATGAAAGAACTAAATCTATATCTATCTATGCATGCATTCATTACTTTGTATGTCTTACAAAAAGAACGCTACCAAAAGAATACAAAAATCCATCCAGATTTATCCCCAGTCTCCAATACATTCAAACACGAACAACTGATCTGTTAAGCTTTATGTTTGCTAACAAAACTTATTATGAAGCATTACAAAAACAAAACAAAAAATATATTATAAAATAGTTGTATCTGATATCTGGGCAACAAACTTTTCAAACTAAATGGGAAAAACAGCCCTTTGGGGTCACAAACATGAACTCTTGTTCTTCTGCTGTGGAATCATGTTTTTACTCAACTGTAAGCTGATCTCTGATGCTGCTGCTCTTTGAACTCTGAGTGGTTCAGAGTCAAAGTGTCCTGCCCCACCAAGCCCTCACACAATTAATGTGTAACCACTTAGCCATCTGCACATTTGACACTAAATCACCAGTGCTGTGGGCTGATGTCTTCATATACTGTAGCAGCAAGTTCTGCTATTGCTTAAGCAAAAGACTATTTAGAGTCTGAAAACACGGTCAATGAGTGCATCAGTTCCCTTTAGGCCACACAGAGTATGTCAACCTTGTGTCTACACACCTGCTATCCACACCTGGGCATTTCTAAATCATGGTGTATCTGAAGATCTACCCAACAAGGAAAAACCAACACGAGACTGCTAGATAGACCTCACAAACTTCTTGTTGACATCTGTGGTTCTTGTGCTAAGGTATATTGGACTTTATTTGTCCTGAGAGTATCTGTGATTAACTGCGTCTGTTCCGTCTGCAGATAAAGGATGAAAGAATTTATGTGACATTGCTTGGAGATAAAAAAAAAAAAAAAAGTAAACAGTATGCAGTTGTTCACCTCGACTGATAGTAAACTCATACCTTACGACTGCATGTGCGAGTCCATAACAATTTATGGAGTGGGAAAGCGGTTTATAGATACTGCAAGCCCATAGATGTAGGTCAACATGTAATGATATTTGTGAGGAATAATGAACAAACAAACAGGCTGATCTGGACCAGTTTATTATATTGTAATGGAAATTTTAATGATGTTGCTACAAGTATTACAGGAATTTTGGTGAATATATATAAATATTAATGTATATATGTGTGTGTGTGTGTGTGTGTGTGTGTGTGTGTGTGTGTGTGTGTGTGTGTGTGTTTGAGCTATTTCTGATAACACCACAGGTTATACAATGGAAGGTCACATGATAAAAAAAAATACTAAAATAGTCTTCAAATTATTTTTAATTAATTAATTAAACATGAGTTTAAACATAAATTAAGTAAATTTTTACACAAAACAAGAAAATGACACTTTTACAGTAAAAGTATATAAGAATGAAAGCTCGAACAGCTGATAAAAACATCACAATAATCCACACAACTCCAGTCCATCAACTGACCGCTTATGAAGCAAAAGCTGTGAGTTTGTAAAAAAACAAATCCATCAAGACATTTTTAACTTCAAGAGCAGTCCTCCATCCATAATATTGCTTTATCATGTGAAAAAGTTGTCATCTCTGATTTCACACAGATGAAGAATCATTTACAAGCAAAAACAGTCCAAAACAGTCCTAATCAACTACTGTATGTTGGTGGATTTTGGAGGAAGCATTATTATGGGTTATGGACTCATATTGTGTCCAGAAGCAATGGTTTAAAAGTTAAACATTTTAATGACGGATTTGTTACTTACAAACATGCAGCTTTTCGCTTCTCAAGTCCTGTGGATTACTTGTGGTTTATTGTGATGTTTTTATCAGCTGTTTGGACTCGCATTCTGACGGCACCCATTCACTGCAGATGATCCATGGCTGAGCAAATGATGTAATGCTAAATTTCTCCTAATCTGTTCTGATAAAGAAACAAACTCATCTACACCTTGGATGGATTGAGGGTGAGAACATTTTCAGCAAATGTTCATTTTTAGGTGAACTATGCCTTTAAATTAACTGTAGAAATTCTATAATCATTTAGTTCAAATATATATTTTTTAAATACTAGTGCATTCTTTTATTTATGAAATTAGTAGCACAAACACAGACATCCTGTTTGTTTTAGTGTGGAATGTGTTTTATCTGTTGAGAGCACCATGTTGTGCAACACCAGAAAGAAAAGAACCGCATCGTTCCCGTCGCAATCTCATTTCTTCAGCTCTCACTTCCTTTTTTCTGTGACATATTATATTTCTAGGTCTCCATAATAAACATGACAATGGAACAAATTTCTCATTAAAATTCTCGTATAATGAGTAATTATGACTGGCACCAGTATCCATTGTTTTAGAGTGTCGTAATCCAAAAAAATGAAAACAAAACAAAAACTTTCACTAGACAGGAAATGTTCACACTGCAGAGAACAGAGGAGGGAATGTATAACAGCGAAAAGGATTTTCTTTTTCAACAAATTGTATTGATTTTATTTTAAGCATTGTTAATCGCTTAATTAAAATGTTGAATATGCCATTAGCAATAGTATTGACAGGATTTAATATAGAAGTACTGAACTGGCATAGAGACAAAGATTACATTTCAATTACATATTTTAATTTCAAACTTGATTCAGTAACACCCTAATATTTCAGGGCAAGGGTCTTCAGCAAGGCCTGGTATTTACTGTTATCTCAAACTTTTGTGAAAAATTCTTTTTTAAATACAATATTCCTTATGCAAATATTAAAGGAACAGTTCACCCAAAAAGGAAGTTTCGCTGAAAATGTATTCATCTTAAGGACATCAAAGATGTAGATGAGTTTGTTTCCTCATCGGAATAGTTTTGAGTCCTCCATCCATAATATTGCTTTCTCCAGAGGAAAAGCCATCTCATCTGAATCAGGAGAGAAATATGCACAGATTAAGCACCATACACAAGTGAAAACAGTCCAAAAAGTTCTAAACAAATATGTTGATGCGTTTTGACATGGCAGATACATCTGACACATCTGACTTTCCTTCATACTACCCATATTCATACTATATAGAACCTTTTTACCAGTTGTGAAGTAAGTTCAAATTGAAATGTAGTGCCTACTCAGACAGTACACAATTTCAGATGCACCGATGGACAATGTTAAAACACCTTAATGATGTGCTTGTGAGAAGCAGATTTACATTCATTGATTTACTTGAGTCGTGTGAATTATCGTGATGTTTTTATCAGCTGTTTGAACCCTCATTCTGACGGCACCCATTCACTGCAGAAGACCCATTGAGCAAGTGATGTAATGCTAAATTTCTCCAAATCTGTCCTGATGAGGAAACAAACTCATCTAGATCTTGGACGGCCTGAGGAGGAGTAAATTTGTTTATTTTTTTAACGAAAATTTAAATATTAATTTATATAAAATTAAATGTTTTGTTGTCTCTCCCACAGTATAATTAACATAATAATAATAATTAAAATACACAAAAATTACCTGCAAATCCATTCAAATATGTATTTATCATAAATGTTAATATAACACCATATGCTTGTTATTATAGGACAGAATTAGCAGCAACACTCTGTTTGATCCAATATGTAACAGAGGTTCTCTATCCACCAAGGGATCCTTGGCCTGAAGTAGTGTTTCGGTGTGTACGTTTTACATAAATATAGTTTAATACAGAAAAATAATGCTATTAAAAATGAAAATGATGCAACATGACCCATTTTAATGCAGAAGGCCACTAAGACAAATGGAGACATAATACTATGAAGTAGTTACAAATAACCACAGCTAAATGCAGGCACATCAAGCCTCATTTTGTTTTCTCCACAATCACCATTGTGGTCACACGATAAATATTTGGTCCTGAATCACTTAAGCTTCATCCTACACCAGCTTTCCTCAATTTGGCCGCATTCTGGTAGATGAGCAAACATGTTAAAAGCCCTGGTTAAAACAGCACACAGTAGCACACATACTAGATGCAAGTTATCTCACAGAAGAACTTCCCCTTCAGAAACAAACTATATCTAATTTACAGAGAAACATGAAAAAAAATCCTTCTTTTCAGATTGGAACCTACAGAACCAGTTATTTCTAAACATGAGGTTAGTGTAAAACATACAAGTATTCAAAGAGAAAAAGCCAAATTGGGTTACCAAAGCAGTTTGTTCAGATTTAAACTTTATTTATGTACCCACTTTTATGCTGTATAGGCTTATTCGTTCGGCTTAATGGTTC